TTCCAACGGATGCTCTATGCCGGGTTGTCACCTGCAAAAGCCGTCGGCTCAACCTACTACATCCTCATCCATGAATACGAGGTAGCCCAGAGAAAAGGCCCCGGCGGTGCTCCCCGTTCCCCCATATGCCACTTTGTTATTAGGGGCACCTGTGATGTTGGTACTACTATTCGTACAGTGCAGCTCTACCAGGACAAGGTTGTTGGCGTCCCGGCACCGGCGCTGAGAGCTGAAAAAGGCCATTTATTACATATAAGCAGGGACAAGGGTCAACATCTTAAGACAAGACATGATGCTCAGAGCCTGTTGATGGATTCTCGCACTCATTAAACGAGTATTATTACCCACCTGTAAAGGCTTGTGATTGAGGCGCCATCCTTGAAAATGTTAAAACACAGGCCAGGTCTGTTCCAAGGCATTCGTCCATTTGTCTTCAATCCGGCAAGATTCTCCATCTGATGCCAGGGCTATCACGGAGTAGTTATCACATATTCAAAACTCTGAGTCATTCAGATAACATGAGCCCTTGACTTCATGCAAAGATGTGTACCATACCCATATGCGTTGCAACAGATGGTTATCTGGCCCAGTTCAAACCTGCGGCGATGAATCTTGATAGAAGAGAAACCCTATCATCATCAGCTGGGCTCCGTGTCTTTTGGTCCATTCTCGGCCGTTCCGTCCCCGTTCCTATTCATAGCTCACTCGCTTGCCACCATCCACGCAATACAACCTCAGATCAGACTGAGGCCAATCAATGCCCTTGGAAAACTGAGGTTGCACGCATTGCCTAGAATCGGGATACAAGATATGTAGAATATTCCGGACAAAACAAGATTCCATCACATGGCAAAGATTCTCGAGAAAGAGAATTGGATTGGTATAGATTTTGGAGAGTCCGTGGACCAGGAGAAATACGGCCTGCCCACTCAAGACTAGTAACCGCCCAACGTTCTCAAGCCATTGTTTCTGATTGTTTGAGACATTGCGCTCATCAGCCACGACCTGCTTCTGTGCAGAATGGCCTTGGACATAGAGAATGCCTCGTGGTTGTTAATTGGCTAGCGTACAGTAGGTAGTTCTCACAAGAGATACTCTTTGATCACGGACGGGATGGATCATTTCGACAGCACAGAGCACCCCAATCTATCTTCCTCAGCCACTCAGAGGCTCTGAAACCACAGCCTAGGGAGGTGGACAGGTGCGGCTTTGGCCTAACATTAGGTAGACAAGAAACTATCCACCACCAACATCAGCTTCAGCTGCACTACGCTGGCCGTGCTGCTAATATCTCATTTCCCAAACCTCAACACTCAACACTCAACTGGATATCTGGATCTCTGTCTTCCCGGGCCGCTGCGTTCCGAATCAGAAACCATCTGCAAAGACACAATTCAAAGCAAGCTCCGTTTCTCTAGATCTTCCTCGAAAGACAAAATGTCAACTGAGCAACGCCCAACTGGCGATGCCCTCATTACTTCCGAGGACCCAAACCACCCTGCAAACCTGATCCCTTCGCTATGCGCAAAGTTCTGGACCCTGGGCTGGGTTACGGGAACAGGAGGCGGTTGCTCTATTCGAGATGAGTATGTTTATGTTTAGCTGGCTCGTTTTTGAAATTTCATCATTTTTTACCCCGCGACCCCGCCATGATGAGTTGGAGAAGGCGAATTTATTTATTACAAGACTCATGATACCGGTGTGTACTCTCTTCAAGTGAATGGGAAATCGTCTGAAACTTCTCTTGAGCATTTGTTATCCAAATAGGGAGCAAACGTTTCTCTTAACTTACACCATGATCGCAGTGATCTCGTATACATCGCACCCTCGGGTGTTCAAAAAGAACTCATGAAGAACACCGATATCTATGTCATGGCTCTTTCTGAGCAAGATCCTAACCACAACAAGCTCAACCAGCGCACTTATCTGCGATCTCCTCCCTGCTACAAGCCTTCTCAGTGCACCCCCTTGTTCCTTGCTGCTTTCACCCGCCGAGGAGCTGGCTGTTGTATACATACTCACTCTCAATGGGCTGTTCTTGTCACCCTCCTCTTAGAATCCCAAGGCCCCGGAAAGGACCGGGTTTTCGAGATCAACAACATTGAGCAGATCAAGGGCTTTGGCCGTGGCATGAACAAGACAGGCAACCTGGGCTATCATGACACCCTTCGCATCCCAGTCATCGAGAACACTCCTCATGAGGAGGACTTGACCGAGTATCTTGAAGAAGCGATGGATAAGTATCCCGACACATACGCTGTCCTCGTCCGTCGTCACGGTGTCTACGTCTGGGGTGATAACGTTCATAAGGCCAAGACTCAATGTGAGAGGTAAGGAAGATATACCAAGCTCACTCGTGATCTGCGAATGATTATGCTAATACAACGTAGTCTCGATTACCTGTTCCAGCTTGCCGTTGAGATGAAGAAGCTCGGCCTTCCTTGGATCAGCGAAGTCGAGCAGATTGCTCCCCAGCGAACATAGTCGGAGAAGCAGTACGAGTGTAACTACAAATCCCGGCACCTTAGTTTGTGCTCTTGACGAACGGGATTGCTTACCAGGTAGTTAGCCTGGAAGCCAAACGAGGCACGGCGTTATGTGAGATGATGGCTCAAAGAAAATTCAAGGGTAGTCGATAGATGGATGAATGTGGTCGATAACATGACAATGACCAAGGGACGAAAAATCTCTTTCGAAGAATAGAGCATGTCACCATTGCGGATCATTCTATTGGAGAGGTTTTTATTTTTGTTTTTGACGGGCATCATATGTTCCAAAATCAATTACAGTTCAGCCTGCGGATTCATGAATTTCGAACATGATGCTGACAAGACTTGCTTCAAAGTTATAAGCATAATGCCCAACATATTCAGGACGTTGTTACTATAAAATTAGTAATTATACAACTCATAACTCATCTCTAGGGCGTTGCTGCTCAGCAACTTCAGGCTCCTCCCACATCCTCTTCTTGGGATTACCGATATTGTCTTCATCACCCCCTGGGATATTCCCCAGCTCATCTGCCTCTCTCACAACGTTCAGAATCTTATCCACCTCCTCAAAAACTTCGGCCTGCTTCTCAGTGTCAACCTTGGCGGTAGGCAATTCATCATCCGGCAGGCCCTCCACCGGAACTCCTTTGCTCGCTTGTCCAGCCTCCTTCACCTGGCCCTGCCCAGAACCCGCGTGCATTACCGCACTGCCTGCTGACGTTCCCAATCCAAACATCAACCTCAGCGGTAGCCAAACAATCCACCACATCGGTCCATACAGCAGTCTTCTGAACAACAGCCAGCCGAGTGTACAAGCTAGCATGTAAAATGTCGTCTGAAGGTACCACGTATCGCTTTTCTGCGAGCGCAGCAATGTGCCTAATAAGTCCTTGGAGCTTGCCAGCATTGTGTCCAGAGAGCCATACGACTCGTTCAGTTGCTTCAAAGCAGCAGAAGATTCCGTCAGAGTCTCATGTGCAAACTCGCTACGGGCCAACTCCGCCTGGATCAAATCATGTGTTCGTCGTAGGGCGTTGGTCACATTAGCACTCGCACCAACGTTCTGTTGATCCTCTTCAGTGAGGCTCGATTGCTGCTTCTGAACATTCTGCTGATGGCGTGTAGGACGAGCAGTCTTTTCATCGTCAGGGTAAAGAGAGTTGGTCTCGGAGGTAGGCTGTGAAAATGATGTAAGGAGGATCTCGCGCTCTCGTCTTTGTGCCTGAGCGAGGCTATGCTTTGCCGACAGTCGTGCTTTTCGAAAAGAGAGACGGCAGCTAGAGTACGTTTAGACATAAACACCATTTTCCTCTCCGTGCAAACTATACCTTGCAAGCTCCTTTCCAATCTTTTCGACACTCTCTTTCAATCGGTCTTTGTCATGCTCTGCACCACGTAGAAACTCCACTTCTTCCTGCAAAAGCTCCTGCTCCTCTTCTCCATCTCGTAGAGTGCTCGTAATTTCTGCGCTGAGTTCGCCGCTCTCGCTGCTCTCCTCGTCGGTGGTCAGGGGCACAGAGCCAGGTTGGAATTTGAGTGTTGCGAGTCGATCGATAAGCTCTTTGAGCTGCGTTGTCGTCTCTTGCAGAGCCGTCAAACGCTCCTGCAGACCCTCGAAGGACATTTTCAGCTTGTTGAGCTTGCGATATTATGCTGGTGAAGAACTGTTAGGTATATGCTGCTGTGCAAGTCGATCTCGAAACGTGGTCCGTCATTATCATGACGTTGCAGTTAGCTTGGTGCCACCCCTTTAGGGTGATATGCATGTACCGAGACGTTATCGAACCTCGAAATTTTAGCATCGCCAAACTACCCGCCTATAGCTCTTGAGTGTGTTAACGACCACGTTCGACTCCCTTGCCAACGCCAATTACTCTTGAGTATTTCACGAGCTTCGCCTTTACTCGCCGCCAAGATGATCACAAAGTTTATGACCGAGGTTTCGGCCAAATTCAACCCGTTCTCGGCCTGCGCAAAGCCAGCTCGTCTGTTTCTCACATTTCTGCCTCCGAATGCTCGAGCAAATGGAACAACAATCACATCGACCATTCTACCCCGAACTTCAAAAGAGCCCAGCTCCTTACGAGTGAAATTTAGTACGTAATACTAGAAGGCTATTAGTTTTGCCCAGGGGGTCCAATGGCTAACGAGATGCAGAGGATGGCAAGGAGCTCAACTTCGACTGCCAAAAGATCAACATCAAAGGACTGGTGGAGGAAGTAGACCGACATTCACGTCAGCTGCAGAAGGCAGCCGACTTGACAGATTAAAATTTGTGAAAAACATCGCTATACTTTATCACTCTGCAAAAACGGCGTTTAGGAAACGAACCATGTACATATACGAACCCCAGTATGGCCTAGCAGGGGTTGGGGGTCTTGTATAATATTACGACAACTGGCATCATTTTTATATATTGTTCTTGAGTATCTACGTGCTCAACTTTTGTGAAGACTACATGTCTGCCATACTTCTTCCTTTTATGCAAGATGGTTGGTCTATGAACACTTAAGCAGAGGCACCGCTGATGAAGAACCACTTGTCGATGGAAGCATCGATCTTCTCGGCGGGGACGTCCTCGTTGGGAGGCAGAGGGGGGAGCTGGTCAGGAGAGACGCGAGAAGGAGAGTTCTGGACAGTGACGTTGGTGCTATACAAACATTAATATCAACAGTGTTAGGAAGACAGGTTAGAGACTTACGTGGAGACACCGCCGGCAGGGGTCTTGCCAGTGATGAGACGCTCCCAGGCCTCAGCACACTCACGGACGACGTCGAGGGCGTAGCTTAAAATTGTCAGTCTTGGGCTCAATGAGCCGGAGTTTGAGAACTCACCTCTTGTTCTTGCACTCGCCAGTGAAAGCAAACTGGTTCTCGGGCTTGCCATCGGGAATCTTGTAGATACGGAACCACTCGTTGGTGGCACGGAGGAGACCGGGAAGGTGTCGCTCGACATCCTCGACGTCGTTCAGCTTGGAGGCGAGAGGGTCGTTGATATCAATGACGATGACCTTCCAGTCAGTCTCCTCCTCGTCGAGGAGAGCCATGACACCGAGGACCTTGACCTGCTTAACCTGGCCAGAGTAACCAACAAGCTCACCGATCTCGCAGACATCGAGAGGGTCGTTGTCACCCTTGGCCTTGGTCTCAGGGTGAACGGAGTTGGGATCCTCCCAAGTCTGGTGATCGAGTTAGGGGTGACCACGTCAGATTGGGGTCAATAATGAGCATACCTGGGGAAAGGCACCGTAGTTCCAGAGGTAACCCTTGTGGGGGAAGCAGTTTCGGACGTATCGAAGCTTGCCCTTCTTGATATCCTGCTTGATGGGGTTGAGGAGCTCCTCCTTGGAGATCTAGAGTGAGGGTTTTGTCAGTATTCATGTTTTGCGTTTTGTCGGTCTGGGCAACGATTGCGCAAGGAGGAGGAGGGAGGGGTAATATAGCACACGACAACTGTAAATAAAGCAAAGCGTGCCGAGGAGGTAACAAGACAGCAATTGATGTTGACCAGAACATACCTCAAGCTTGGCATTGGTCCATCGAGGAATCTCGACAACCATGTTCAGGATGGTCTGCTCCTGATTGGCATAGAGAGGAATATCATGGAAAGGAGAAACGGGCTGGCCATCCTTCTCGATGTAGACTCGGTGCTCGAGGGTGTTGGGAGCCGCAACCTTGCGGACGGTGTAGTTGGAGGCCATGTCGGGCTTCTGCTTTGAAACGGGACCTGTTGGTGAGGATGAGGAGGAAAAGTGTCGAGCAATCTGAGCTGTTCGACGGGAAGAAATTTTGGAGGTTGACGTAGCAGCAGAGTGAGAATAAGAAGAGGATGGAGGGGGCGGGGTACCACTGGTAACGACACTATGGCTCCCGCCGGGGCCTGCAGCGGCAGCGGCAAGGCTACGTGCTGCCAGCGATGCCATGTAATTGGCCCGGCCAGGTACTCGGTATGGCGACAGCGACGGCGCTGCGGAGGGACTGTACAGCAGTGTCCCAGTGGCTGCGGTGCCTGTGACTGTAGTGCGCAACGACCTCTGGAGCAGCAGAAGCCGGGAACTTTGCGGCTGTAACATCAATACTAAGCTGATCTTTAGGGGGCGGCTTGAAGTGGAGCAGCCCCGGGGAGAAGGGTGCAAAAGGGAGAGAGGAAAGGGATCGGGAGGTTATATCAAGAGTATACGGTGGGAAGAAACCTTATGCCTAGGCCTTACACCGCGGTCGTCGGCTGTAGCGCAGGGCTTCGAGAGAAACCGAGGTCGTCTTTTCGCGGGCACGGGAGTTGGTTTTTCGGACGGTTGATATGGACCAGAAGCTAACTGGTTCTGGATATCATGATGGGTCTCAGTTGTGCTAATTTGATCCTGATCGCCATGTCGTGCCATATCCACAGAAAAAACACGGCCGACAGCCCGGAGACAAGTCATGACCCGATGAACCTATTTCATTACACCTGCAGCTAAACGGACTGAAGTAATGTCTAGACTCAAAGTCCTTCTTATGCTCCCCTCTTGTAGTCAATCCAGAATATTTACGGCGAACACGATTGATTATTTCCTTCTACCCTGCAATCAGACCTTTCATGAAAATTCTTCCATCTCTGTAACCGGAACATGAGCCGTCTTATTATTAGGTGCAACACCAAGATGCAGACCCCATCCATCCACACCGTTTGAGAAGCCAGAGCCCCAAATGATGCACCAGGACCCACGATACTGATCACCTCATATCGATTGGTGCTGAGTGATTCAACAATGAATTGAACATGAGCCTAAACCCGTATTTTGCGCCACGAGCCGGTTCATGGTCGTGGCTTACACCCAAGGTGCAACATACACTACGAACCTCAGCATGACACCATTTAAACTTTTGATAGGCACGCCTATTCTGATTCAACTAACGAGACTAACTAACCAATAATAATAATCAAAGGATATAAACAAACAGCACTTCAAAAAACCCTCTCGTTACCCCGGACTTATTATACCTAGGAACTGGCCCCTCAACGACGCCCAGACAGACTGCGATGACAGCAAGTGAACTTCTCGCCTGCTCAAGAGAACGAAAATGATCGAAACAAAATCCCATACCAGCATCGGCGCCCTTATTCATTATACTGCAATTGCCAACTTAATTAGCCAGCGACCTCAGCATAGACAGAGGACTTGGTACCCCGTTGCTCCAAAGGAGAAGTGTCGGATTCAACTGTAGCTGCCTCAGACTGAACAGGAGACAAATTGTCTCCCGAAGCCAGAGGCTCCTTTCCCTTTCCCTCAAGGGTTGGCGATCGGCTTTGGACTGGAGTAGAAAAGCTCTCGGCCTCGGGTCGCCAGTCTCGCAGATCATCCTCAGCATCGTTAAGGATTTGGCGTGCCTGGGAGGAGTGTTGATAAGGCACTCGTGTATCGCCAGGGACCACAGGCGAAACGTCGAGAAGCTCCAACAGACGGCGGCCATGTTTGGCTAGGATGATCTGCTTTTCGGCACGCTCGATGGTTGCCGCGAACTCGGCAACATAGGCGTCCTTGAGCTTTTGTCGGGTCTGTATGATTGGTCAGCCTTGCTCAAATGGTTGATGACGCGATGCTAGTCGCATGTACTCACGGTGTTGGTCAATTGAGCCTCGGCCACCAGGTTCTCAGCCTCAGCTCTCACCAATTCCTGCTCAAGGACAGGCAATCTTGTGCTGCCAGGCTCCTTCAACTTCAACTTCTGGATCTCATCGGCAATCTTGTCCTTGTTTTCGCGGCTGGGTTGCACACTCTTCTCGGTGTTTCGAATAGCCTTGAGTTCGGCGCGAGAATCATCAAGAGCATGAGCATATGCGTCCTCCTGCTCGCCCATTTCACTTAGGATAACTCCCACTTTATCCGAAATATCACTAATACTGTCATCTCCGGTGTGCTCACCCCATTCAGATAACTGGGTTGCGATGGAAACTCGCTCACGGCCGGCGGTCTCATGGGCGCCAATGAGGTTGTTCTCTGATTTGATGAGGCGGAAGAGCTTACGGGACAGCTCAGGTTGGACCTGGCCGCGGAGTGAGTTGAAGGAAAAACCCGGGCGTTTGGCTCCGGCACCAGCGCCAGAGCTGCCCTTGGATTTGTTGGATCGAATGGAGAGTGCGCGATTCCTAGAAAAGGGTTTTATGTCAATCGGGCTTTCCGAACATAGTGATTCATGGCGTGAAGGAGAGGCGTCGAAACTGAAGCGAGACATTGTATTTTGATATACAGTAAGGTTGGCTAAGGCGCGACGACATATGAAGTTTGACAATTGCTGAAGATGCTAACGGGAGCTTACATGTTGAAGGCCTGAGGAAGGATAACTACCAAGGTAGAGAGCCAAGGTAAGGTAGGTAGGCAGGCGAATCCTGCAGTTATCGCTCAAGAGTGACTGTGACTCGGCCAGCATGCACCTACTTCCATATAGTCAGCTTTCACATCACAAAACATTCTTGCCTTCTCCACTACCACCTAATGGAACAGACAAGGCCCAGCACCTCCTCACACAAATAGGTGACAGCTTACAGTGGAATAAGGCGATTCGGGAATTCAGCTGCAGAGCCGCTTTGGGTGGTAAATCAGTGCAAATCGTCTGGGTCCGGGTCAGGTCTCTTACAAGGGGGATGGATGTAAGAGGTCTCCAGATGTTGAAACTGCCGATACAAAGGCAGGGGTTGTGCAGGCTTTAAGCAAGCAGGATGGCCTCTTGAACTGACGTTGACGACACCAACACATCTTGGATCTGCCCTGCTTTCGGTAGCACGAGTACATGTTTTCAGCTGCACCTACGCTCACATTTGGAGTAACTCGCTGTATCTGTCTTAGAGAGCCTTTGGATGTTCGGTGGCGGAATGCAGAGTGATGTCATGAGCTCTTCTAGCGATGATCCAGCCTTGCGGGACACTCCGCACCCCGCCCAAACGATACGTCAACAGGCTTTTCCAAAGGGTCATAGAGTGGCAGCTCCAAATGACGAAGATCCGTGGCTCCCGAGAAAGAAGCACGAAGCTCAGCCTTTCATGTAAGAGACATTGGTCGAATAGCATCTTGAGATTCTTAAGTTGACCTCTTTTCTACTGTCACGTCTTATGATCAACAGCCAATTGAGCCAAAGCCAAAATAAAAAATATAAAAAATCCATCATATTTGCTTGCGCTATGTCGCCTATTCCTGTGCATTATTAATAACGCCCACCCTGTTTCCAATATCTTTAACCAGACAGTTTCCCCCAAAACCTTGCCCAAATAGTCATACGTTTCTCATTTATACATTAAACACATTGCCAATGCCGCTAAACACAGCCCGCCAAGTACCGCATGCTCTGTACAACGTCATCGTCTCTAATTACACCAACACTTCAGCATTGGTGGCCTCAGTCGATCAATAGCGCTCATAGACAACAGTGCCACTGTTTCGTGGGCTGTGGCTGTAGGACCGTCGAGAGACACTGGTGTAGCTTGCTCGGGGAGAGCGTGAGTGATGATGGTGATGGTGGTGATGGTGATGATGACCTGTGTATCGTCTAGAAGGTGTAATCTCTTCGTGATAGTAGTATTTGGTCCTGGGCTTGGGTTCACTGCTGAAACACATCCTGGTGGTTGTTTGAGGGTTTGTTCGGCGAGGGTGAGACGGATCGTAGCTGTGATAGGACAGGATCAGTCGAACGAGATCGTTAAAGCGACTGTAAAGTGAGACCCTGGTGTATCAGCCTCAACTTGAGAGATTGGTTGTCAAATTATGAATGCAAAAGAATGTGTGAGGCTTCGAGGAGGGTTCTCATGTTCAATCTTATACCAGTGCCCTGGTTTCCTTTGCCCGGTTTCTTTTGACTAACCCATGCTGTCAGAACCTGGCGCAGACAAGGAGAGGGTCCTCAGCCAGGGTGGCCATTCGGAGCCTGTCTCGCCCACCCATCTCAGGCTCAACTGGGAGACACAGTCCCTCCACACATCCTTCGTGTGGTACCAAGTCCGTGTTAGAACCTGGCAAAGTATACAAGAGGCTCTCAAAAGAGGCTGGGCCTACCTGGCTTACGGAGTTGCCCGCCTTTACGGATAATGGCTTGGACCCTGTCCTTGGTGATGGCTTTGCTGCCTTTGTCAAGCGTGCTTTGATTGTCATATGATGCCTCTTGTGTCTTGGAAACTGGAAACCTAATCCATTTACTAATACGGTCCCTCTATTTTACACTTTTACATCTTTCCCAGCAGCTGCTTCCAGGCTCTTCATCATGTAAAGGTGAAGACCCTTCAATCAAAAGGCACGTTCCGTTTCTATTAAAGCGTCTATTTCTTGGGCTTAAATCCCACTTGCACCTGGCCCAATGCCCAGGTAGTGACAAAAACTACCATGGCACTGGCAAAGATGACCAAAGGTTTTCGAAGAGCGCTCGAGAGAGGCGCATCGTAAGAGATGATGAGTTGGCGGTCTCGGAATTCGTCGACCAGGTTTCGCGCCTTAATGCTGACAGCTGTTCTGCCGACAGTATCGAGGTAGGTTCTGGTCAGATCAACCGAGGTAGATACGATCGATGATTCGGGAATGTTGGTGTGAAACTTGACGTTCCTGTATCAAAGTTAGCAAAGGGACAGATAGTGTGCTTGGACTGTCGGCTTACTCGGCGCCTTCTGGAAGGAGAATATTGACGTTGATGTGCTCATATTCAACGCCTTCTGGCTGCTTGGGGCCTTCGAGGAAAGGAATTCGAAGTACGAAACTACCAGCGGCGGTTTTTCGCAGGAAGTTGGAAGCATCGGAGTTCCATCCAATAGTGAAAGGGTACCTCCATCCACCAAAAAGAGGGTATCGCGGCTTTAGAACAAAAAGAGCGTCTCGGCTGTCGGTTCGCCAAGTAGACGTCGTGACGTTGCCGATCACATCCGTATAATAGGCGTCCACGCTTCCGCCAGGAAGAGGAATTCGCAACTGGTCGAGGTAATGCGAAGGACGAACTCCCGCAACCCCATGCTGACGGTACAACGAATGCTGAGAATATTTGATTCGATCGAAGTTGTCAGAAAGGTTGGCACCGCCGTGATACATCTCGTAGTGCTCCTCGAAGGCGATGTTGCCGCCCCAGTGGCTGACTTCAATCAGACGGTCCAGCTCCTTGACGTGAATAACCGGTTTGGTAAACTGAAAGCGAACGTTTGCAGGGGAGACAGCACCGGCGGGCTTTTCATCGAAGGGACCATAGATGAGCTTGGTGCCCTGCTTTACAGGAAACTCCTTGACCTCGCCACTGCCTGGAAGCTTTGTATAATCGGGGACGTCGGCCGAAGCAGCCTTAAGCTCGGTCTTCTGCTTCTTCGTGATGTAGGCAGATGGTGCATAAACGGAAAAGTTGAAGCTCAGGTATTGGTCATCGTCCTGGGAAACGGCCGCGGGGAGAGGAGTGTAGGCTTTCAGGTAATAGTAGGTGATTCCGAGCGTTTGTTGAGCACCAGGCTTGAGCGGCGTGGGCAGTCGGATACGATAGTACTGAACATCACTATATTGCACCATTAGTAGTGAACTGCGACATAGCCAGGCTCGAAGACATATACCTGAGAGAATCGTACTCGACAGTCTCGGCCACGAACGGTCCGGCGTTCGCATCCTTACGATCCTTAACCTCGAAACCTCCTATACGAGGAAGCTGTTCGGCAGTAAATGGCACATAGTACTCTGTCTGTGGCTCCTTTGCAACGTTCTCGATGAGGACATTGATCTGTTCCTTTACGTAGGTCTTCTCTAGAGAGATGACGTGCACCAAATTGGCGTTCTTGAAAACCTGTGGAGGCTTAAAATCGACGGGCAGGATGACCTTTGATGTCTTGGAGTCTGTAGTTGCGCCAGCGAGTGCGACAGATATGAAGCTAAAGAGCGCCGTGGTGATGGCGAAAGGCTTCATGATGACGGCTTAAGATGGGGATACACTCATTTATTGAGATATCCGAAGCTGTCAAGAATAAAATTTGTCGTGGCCGTGTACCGCAAGGTAATTGTGGTCAAAGTTTGATTAATGCAAGCTCGCAACTCTCGAGACACCTCAACTTCTAGACCCTCCTGAGACAGCTCCCCAAAAAGCATACGTTGCCCATTTGGCGCGTCAGCGGAAGCTTCAGGGTAGGTTCCGTAGCTAGCATGTCTAACCAATGAAAACGTGGCTAGATCGCAGCTCGGGAGAATCGTAGCGCCGGACCCGAACCCCCGTTACCTTAGCTAAAAGGTGTGCTGGCCCAAGCACCCCTAGGTTCTTCCTGATGAGGCGGGAGATAGGTACGTGAATGGCAGAAGAACCAAGTACCTAGCCTTGGAGATCCCCCCCCACGAAGGTGGCTTACTGGGACCTGACATCATGTTACCAAGCTGGAGCTTAAACTGCCCAGAGTGAACGCGGCCGACCCCCATGCTCCCCAGCTCATGAAGGTTGAGAGCAGTGAAACATGTGCACAGTCAGGATATCATGAATTTCATACTGATTTTGACTTCGAAGAGATGGCACTAACCAAGAGGTGCAACTGAAAAAAACGCAATTGGAAGTCTAACGTGTTGTGCGACTTTCAGTCAGAGTAACTACTAATAAATACCAACGGTCCCCTCCATCAACGGCCCGACAAAATGGGCTCCAGTTGTAGTTGAGGAGAAGAGACACCTCAACCCACACGCATCTCAGACCACGAATGTCTAAGCGTGAGGTGCCTGAGTTCTTGTTCGGGCTAGTATCATTGTTGAGGAGAGATGTCTCTTGTTTGCTTCTTTTGCAACGAAGCGGTCAATCTACCAACCCACGAAGGATATAGAGGTGGCTCGGGTGCCCAGTGAAGGGGAGCAGACAAAAGTGTTCAGTAGAAACCAGGTGCAGCCTACATACCTACTATATTTTGGATACCTACATAGTATGTATGTACTAAGTTAGTTGAGGGTCAAGATGGCGGAGACCTGGGACGATCTGGCTGTCGCCAATTGGTCACAAGATACAGGATCAAGTACATGTCAACCTTTATTTGCAGGTAGATGTACTTTGCTTCTGGCCGATTGATGACATGAGAAGACAACTAATAAGTCAACTCCCTGCAAATCTCCCGCTTAACGGCCTGTCCTGACCTCGACTCACTCAATTTAGGTACTCCAGTCCAGTCCCTCCAAGACCTGCTAGCACCTACCTTACCTACCGACGTAAGGTGCTTTCTTCTCCACCTCCCTTCCATCCCATCCCATCCATATCTGGTCTGCTTTAAAAACCCTGTATCCCCCTACCTACACCATCCTCCCTATACTCCTCAACCCATTCTAAGTTCTAATTGTGTTTCTTTCCTTTCGTGAATACCTCTTTCACCCTACAAACGTTTCTACGGTGACCTACGCGCTACGAAGCTTCAACACGACACTACCCCGCCAAATCCGAACCCCGCCAAAAGTCAAACCTCCCTCATCAAAATGGTCGGTCTTGGTCCTCGACGTCCTCCCTCCCGAAAGGGTACGTACACTGAAATGCTATCACTTGCTATCTTATGTTATGACGTCCCCGCGACCGAGAAACTCTATAACTCGTTGTTTGGGAGCATCAATTCCTGCTGGCCACGAGCTGTTGCTTGTCCACGAAGAGGAAGCTCGCTCGGTGGGGCAGAGCCAGCAAAAATGCGCCGCGATGACGATGTTTCTCCATCCTCTGCAACATTCCTGGTGACGAGCCTCGGAGGCAAGACGAAGTCGTCTTCTAGAGTCACGACGGTGAAAAAAGCCGTCGTGCGAGATCGAGAGCCATCCTCATTGGCTCTTGGGGCTCAGCCAAGAATCGGCGACAACAATGATAATCGAATGTGCATGCAACTATGACCTCAAGTTTCGGGGAAACAACGAATTTGAAGATAAGGTGTATTACGTGAGCTTGTACTTCGTGGTTACTGAATGCTATTGGGTTTGCCAGCTGGCAATCACTGTACTACTATCAGAGTGTAGATGCAGTGCTTGTTCAGTGACCATGCAGCACTGAAGTCAAAATGCGCTGCCCTTCTGTTAACCTTTCTCTCCTCAGAGTCTCTTTTTTTTCCAACTACATCCAACCAAAATAATATCAGCCAGCTCAAATCTCTGTTGCTAACGATAAATCATGTCAGGATCAATGGCCGATGTCCCTAAGGATCTCGCCGATGAGATTCACAAGCTCGAGAAGCTCTTTACGGTAGAGTCCGCTAAGCTCAAGGAGATTACCGACCATTTTGTCTCCGAATTAGCCAAAGGTGAGCCCTACTGTTCTGTAGACTACAGGGACGACTGTCTGACTCTCAATAGGCCTCAGTGTTGAGGGGGGTAGCATCGTGAGTTCGAAACAGACACCTCCAATCCTGCTTCTAACCAAGTCCATAGCCTATGAACCCTACCTGGGTCATGTCATACCCCGATGGCTATGAAACCGGAACCTACCTGGCCTTGGACATGGGCGGAACAAACCTGCGAGTCTGCCAAATCACCCTGACCGAAGAGAAATCCGAGTTCGATATCCTCCAGTCCAAGTACCGCATGCCCGAGGAGCTCAAGTCTGGTACATCTGAGGAGCTTTGGGAATACATTGCCGAGTGTCTTTACCAGTTCCTCGAGACTCACCATGGAGACTGCAGCAAGCTGGAGAAAATTCCTCTGGGTTTCACATTCTCGTACCCTGCCACCCAGAACTATATCGATGAGGGTATCCTGCAGCGATGGACCAAGGGCTTCGACATTGATGGTGTTGAGGGCAAGAATATCGTACCCATGTTTGAGGAGGCCCTGAAGGCTCGCGTACGCTGAACATCACTCTCAAACCCCAAGAATCGCTGCTGATCATGTGAATAGGGCGTCCCCATCAAGCTTGCGGCTATCATTAATGATACTACTGGCACATTGATCGCTTCAGCCTATACCGATACCGCTATGAAGATCGGCTGCATCTTTGGTACTGGTTGCAATGCTGCTTACATGGAAGACTGCGGTTCCATTCCTAAGATTGCCGACCTGAATTTGCCCGCCGATCTGCCCATGGCCATCAACTGCGAGTGGGGAGCTTTTGACAACGAGCACAAGGTCCTCCCCCGAACTGCCTACGATGTGACTATCGATAAGGAGTCTCCTCGCCCAGGACAACAAGCCTTCGAAAAGATGATTGCTGGTCTCTACCTTGGCGAGATTTTCCGACTCATCCTTGTTGACCTTCACGATAACAAGGCCATCCATATCTTTGAGAACCAAGATATCGCTCTGTTACGCAAGCCTTACTCCCTCGATGCTTCCTTCCTGTCTGCTATTGAAGAGTACGTTTTCTTCTTTTGGCTGGGTTTACGCACACTGCTAATTTTCTGCTTTAGGGACCCCTGGGAGAACCTGACTGAGACGTATGATCTCTTCGTCAAGAAGCTGAACCTGAAGCCCACACGCCCCGAACTGGAGCTCGTTCGAAGGACCGCCGAGCTCATTGGCACACGTGCTGCTCGCCTTTCGGCTTGTGGTGTTGCTGCTATCTGCAAGAAGAAGGGATACGAATCTTGCCACGTCGGTGCTGATGGCTCCGTGTTCAACAAGTACCCCTACTTCAAGGAGCGAGGAGCTCAGGCTCTGCGAGAGATTCTTGACTGGCCTGCGAAGACCGACAAGAAGGCCGAGGACCCTATTGAGGTTCTTACTGCTGAGGACGGCAGTGGTGTCGGCGCCGCCCTGATAGCCGCCCTGACCCTTAAGCGAATCAATGAGGGCAACATGGCGGGTATCCTCCATCCCGAGAACTTCAAATAAGCATGAGCGGGGGTCGATTGATGAAAGGCGCGTGATGGGCATCAAAGGTTAATATTAGGATTGGACGGAAAACGAAGATAGACGTGGACTTGAATGAAAGCACGAATAGAGACGAAGGGTTTCTTAAAGACTATCAAGAGCATGTGCCACTGATAGGCCTGGAATTCTTTTGATGGATACATTCGTCTAGCCCATGAATGTGCAAATAGGCAGTCGGTATTCTGCGAAATGAAGTTAGCTTGATAGTGATGTAAAATATGTGGTATGTCTTACTGTCCAGGGTCCAGTATCGTCTCCGTACGCCCTCCCACTCTCCCTCACCAGCCTTTTCTAGACCAGACATGTCTACATCACTCTCCTCCCATTCGACATCGAGCCCTGCATCGGCGCACTGCATCTCGACCACCTTGGTGTATACATCGTAGCAGATCTTTCTGTCAGCTCCAAGGCCATTGAAAAAGCTAAACTTGCCATCCTGGTCCATGATGCCAATGATGCACTCAGAGAAGAAGTGACGTAGTTGAGAGTAGTCTTCGCCAAAGGTGTCGAAGTAAATGGCATCATAGACCTCACCATCTTCCAGTAGTTTTGGTACAACATCTTGCCACTTGCCCTTGTGCACCTTGAAGGCGCCCTCTTCAGGGCCGCTCTTCTCCCAACTAGGGCCAAATTTGGATTCATCCTTGGAGAGGTGCTCAAGAACGCTCGGGTGTGCCTCGATGATATGATGGCGTGATGGCTCCAATTCAGCGAACATACCATCAACGATACCCATGCCGAAACCAATGTTGAGGATACGTTTGCCGGGGGCTGAGTCGGGAATCAGACCGGCAACCGATCTGCGCATGATATCGGTCTCCCATGCCATCATGACACCGTTGAGGTCAGAGTCGACGAGCTTGGCATCGTCATATACAAGTTTCGAATTTAGATACTCCTCACTTGTGACTTGCTTCTCTTGAGCGTCGGGCGGAATGAACTTGGGTTCTTCTGGGTGAGGGGCGGTGTCTTCAGCGGATACCAGTTGAGGAGCTTCTTCGCCACCTTGTTCAGCTTCCATCTCTTCGTCACCATCATCTGAACCAGATGACAGTGCTTCATAATCTCCCATAAGAGCGAACAAGAGTTCAGCTCGCACTCCAGCCTCTACACAAAGGTTGTATAGAGGCTTACGGCCAAGCCTAAGGGCAAGGCAGCCTGGTGTCTCATTGTTGCTATCGACATCGTTCCAAATCGCACCTCTCAGGAAGAGATCGTGAACTATCTCTTTAGCCTCTTCAACGGAGCCATCCTCTTCCTGGTCGTCATCGTCCACAGAAGCTGGCCCGCAGGCACGGATAGCTGCATGCAAGGGTGTCTCCCCGGTCTTTGGGTCCTGAGCATTTGCCTTGCCGGTGGTTTTTAGCAGTTTCTGCAGACCACTTCTATCATGACCCCAGGCATGGTACAGGACTTCTCGGATCTCGTCTGGGCAATCGGAGGATATGCGCGCCGGCATGGAATCATCGATTTTGTGAGCCATGATGAGGGGCACAAAATAAAAACTGTGTCGCGGGGTCGAGGGGCACGGAAGTTTGGAGATGGGTGGACGATACCCGAGCTACAAGGGTTGAGCAACGAGTGTACCTGTCTATCTATGCATATAGTAAGGTTGAAGCCGGGTTTTCGAGTTGAGGCAGTAAAAAGGAATCAAGGCCAAGTTTGTGCTAGGGTTGGATCTATACAGGTCTGGAGTTCAGTGGTGAAGCATCTTGACCCGAAAAAAATGGGGGCCGTCTCTGGATGGTGCAAAGAAAACAGAATATAAAAGCTCGCATTAGCTATAGCGAGGGTCTTTCACTTGCTATGAAGTGTTTTGTCGTTCTATATTAGTTACTAAAGAATGATGTATCAAAGTTATCAATGCGCAGAGGTATCAACATTCCCTCGCGACTTGGAAGTACGTCATGGGCAACTACCCAGGTGAGGTATGTATGATAATTACTAGCCCTTTACTTTTTTATATGATTTTTTTTATTCCTCCAGGGTATCGAATTCGACACCGAGCCTCAACATATTTCTCCACCTCGTGCTACTAGCATTAGCTGGTCTCCACGGCTGAATCGATCCACTCTCGCAATTGGGCAGCTGGGGATTGTAGTGCAATGCCCGTAAGATGCATTTACACGTGCATGAAAGATGTTTCCTGACAAGCTTGGGCTTGGATGCTGAAGGGGTCAATTGGCGAATAGGACAGCGTCAACTCGCTTGTTACGTACTGTAGTCCATGCGTATCCTGTGGATGCACTGTAAAATGACGCTGGCGCATGCCTACATTGCACAGCACCTTGGGCGAGACGCCCCAAATACCTTAGCTTAGGTAGGTATGGAAGAACGGCCGCTAAGAATACGGCGGACCCTCGCTTCAGCAGCACCAGTTTTTCTCGTCGGACTTCCCTGTCCTCCCTCTAGCCTCGCCATTAAGTTTCCTTCAGTGACGTGCACGTTCTTGTAGCCACCAACATGATTCGCCAATCGTCTCAGGTTCAGAGCTTGTCTCGAACAGAGCTCTCGACCGTGACAACGCCAACTAAACCCATGTCGGCCTGCTGCTCCACATAACGCCCGGCCTAAAGTCAGTTGCTCGACTAGTCAACGATAACAAGACAAAACGAAGCGACGAAAGAGTTCACATCAGGTCAAGGCAAGGAAACCTGGAACTTTTCTCGTACCTGGAATCGACTGACAGTGCCACGGTTACCTTGCATATTCGTTAAAATAGTTCGTCCGTACCTGACCTGCCGACTCGGAAGCCCTGACCTGTTTTGTTACGCCTCGGCCATCTCGTAACTTTCGGCGACACCAAAAACATTGTCTCTCTCGCCCTCCTCTTCTCTTATTATTGTCACCAGGTAAGCCCGCAAAAGATTTGTATCATCAGCATTTGTCGATTGACTTCCTCGGCTGCACCGTGGTCAAACGTCCCATATCTCTTCCATCCATCATCTTTGCTATTCGAGCTCAATGCCTTGGATGACGTATCCAGCCTCTTCAATGCGCACATGCTGATCGTTCAAGACCTCAAGACACGTTCCAGAACCTGGCTCAGTACCCGCGACGGCAAAAATCTCTCTGTCCGACCCGGCGTCGTCGTCATGAAGTTCGGAGAGCAGTTACGCTCCAGCGTTATCCAGGAGTATCAGTGGTACTACATCGATTACGAAGGTTTGAAAAATGAGCTCAAGGGACCTACAGGCCCTTTGAAGGCAGGCAAGGGCCCAGAATGGACTGAGGATGACGAGACGCGCTTCGTCGAAAGGCTCGAGTTAGAGCTCGAAAAGGTTCACACCAAGCAGAAGGTCAAGGCTATGGAGATTGCCCGTCGAATTGCTGTGAGCGAACGCGAAGTCAAGGATGTGGTTAATCGCCTGAATGAGCGTGGACTTGGCGAGAATGGCCCCAGCGAGGAAGAGTTTATGCTTCTCGAAGAGGACCTCAGCGACATTATAGCCGATGTCCACGACCTTGCCAAGTTTGTGCAGCTCAACTACACCGGGTTTTACAAGATCATTAAGAAGCACGATGTAAGACTCAACCCATTGGAAGTAACGTAGCCGTTGCCTAACGAAAGTTCCAGAAAACGACCGGATGGCACCTGAAGCCCGTTTTCGATAGCCGACTCAAAGCCAAGCCCTTTTACAAGGAAAACTACGACGCCTCTGTCATCAAGCTGTCGAAGCTCTACGACCTCGTCCGAACTCGCGGAAATCCCGTCAAGGGCGACAGTGCTGCGGGTGGAGGCCAGGCCAACTTCATCCGACAAACGACTAAATACTGGGTGCACCCTGACAACGTCACGGAACTGAAGCTTATTATCCTGAAGCACTTGCCTGTTCTCGTCTTCAATGCCAACAAGGACTTTGACCCGGAAGACTCAGCAATCACATCGATTTACTACGACAATCCCGACACCTGGGACTTGTATGAAGGTCGACTGAAGAAAACTGAAGGCGCCGAGGCGATTCGACTTCGATGGTATGGAGGCATGAAGACAGAGACGATCTTCGTCGAGCGCAAGACCCACCGTGAAGATTGGACGGGCGAGAAGTCTGTCAAGGCTCGATTTGCCATGAAGGAGAAAAACGTCAACGCGTACATGAAGGGAGAACTCCTGCCAGCTGCCATCTTCGAGAAGGCACGCAAAGAGGGCAAGAAGTCTGAGAAGGCCATTGCTGAGGACGAGCGATTGGCCTCTGAGGTCCAATATTCGGTTCTTAAAAAGGGCTACAAGCCCGTTTGCCGATCTTTCTATAACCGCACTGCGTTCCAGCTCCCAGCCGATGCCCGTGTCCGAATTTCGCTGGATACGGAGCTCACAATGGTGCGAGAAGACAATCTTGATGGCCGTGTCCGCTCTGGAGACAACTGGCGCCGTATGGATATCGGTGTTGACTACCCCTTTTCGCAATTGCCTGCCGAAGACATTGAGCGGTTCCCTTATGCCGTTCTGGAGGTCAAGCTCCAGACGCAGTCCGGCCAGAAACCACCTGAGTGGGTTCGCCAGCTTATCTCGTCTCACCTGGTGGAGGCCGTGCCCAAGTTCTCGAAGTTCATCCACGGTACGGCGACGTTGTTTCCTGATAGAATCAACCTCCTGCCTTTCTGGATGCCTCAGATGGACGTAGACATCCGCAAACCCGTTACTCATGACTTTGGCATTCGACGACCCGGGTTGTCAGGTACCACCAATACATCTGATGACGACGAAGAGCTTGACTCGGATGACGAGGAGTTGCAGGCTTCTGGCCGCAACGGCACTAACGGCGAGTCGAGCGCACAGGGCGCTCGTGGTCTCCGTGAGATCCCCCCTATTGACATGGAGGGCCAGATGACAGACCTTCCCGCGGCCGATGAAGACTATGCGATTTACAACTCGGATGATGAGTATGATGAAAGATACGAGCTGGCGCAAGCCAAGAGAAGTGGAGGATGGCGCTACTACTCGACATTGCTTTCTGCCA